CCACAGTCGCCCAAACAATGAGTTGCTGGGTTACATTGCTGGTGGTCCAAGCTTGGGCCTCTTTGTTCGGGTTCCCAAACTATAGGGTGTCGTATGGATAGTAGAATTATATGGGTGAGTTCTCTAAATGAGGGTTCCTTTTTCAGGCCCGGCCTTATACCCTCAAATACGGGTATATGGTCCCAAATTAAAGGTATCTAGGCTCTACTAGAGGGTCGTAGTGTCCTTTTTAGTAAGGGTGCCGTGCTTCTTCGGACCGAAGCAGGCACCCGAACTACCCAGAGAGGGCTCCCCAAAAGGACCTTGGTTGGGACAGTGACCCACATTTAGGGTTTAGGGTTTAGGGCTTAGGGTTTGGGGGTTTAGGGTTTAGGGTTTAGGGTTTAGGGTTCACAGACCACAAAGGCGGACCTTGCAGCCGATTGCACTTACCTGGATTCTCAGAACCTCTGAGAATGGGTCTCCTTACAAAGGTCCTGCAAAGGTAGGTCTTTTGGGGTTAAACGCTAAACCCTTAACCTCAGAGGTTTAGGGGTTTAGGCGATAGGGAGTTAGGGTCTAGGGGTTTCGGGTTTAGGGTTTAGGAATTTACGGGAAGGCTTAGGGGTTTCGGGTTTAGGGTTCTACTTTCCTAAACCCCTACTCGAGTCTCAACCCCGGGCCCTTTGAGGATCTATGGCGGCGGTTTCAGCTACGCGTACAGACTACAGGACTTCCTGGGGCTTTGATTGGCTTCTTCGGATGGTTTCAGGGTTTGGGGTGTGGGGTTTAGGGTTTAGGGTTTGGGGTTTCAGGGTTTGGGGTGTGGGGTTCAAGAGGAGATACGACTGCGGGGTCGCTTGATGTCAGGGTGTAGGGCTTATAGGGTTTAGGGACCAAGATGCCCCAGAGCCTCGGCGGATAGCTCCTTACGGCACTTCTTTGTTTTAGTGGTTGGGGGTTTAATGAGGGTTTAGGATCCTAAACCCTAAACCCCCAAAATCCTAAGCCCTAAACCCCCAAAATCCTAAGCCCTAAACCCCCAAAATCCTAAACCCAAACCCCTAATCCCTAAACCCTAAACCCCTTTAAATCCTAAACCCCAAACCCTCAATCCTAAACCCCAAGAGGCTTGTTTCGTGGCAGAGGCCCTGGGCTTCAGGCGTAAACGCTTCAGGAGCTCTTTAGTTGACACAGGCCATGTTTTTTTTGAAGGGGTGCTCGCCAGTTCTGAGTTTTTTGAAGATGCAAGACCCCTGGCATCCTTCTCCAAGAGGGCCCACATGAGTATTCTGAAGGTTTGGGTTTAGGTCTTCGAGTTTATCCCTAAGTATGTTGGAATTAGGTCACCAAAATCAAAGCCATGATAAGAAGGGTCTTTCGGGACCTGATTCCATAAGGGTAGTAGCTTATAGGGACCCCCTGGGCATGCTTGCAGCGTCCACGAGCGATAGAGTCCAGGACCTGCCAGTCAATCGGTCTCTGTCCGTTCGCATCTCAGATCTGTTGGGATGTGGAGGTGGGGCCCAGATGCTTGGATTTGGCCAACGTTTGCGCTTGCAAAACTGTCTCATTCCGAGGATACACAAGAACAATTACAGACCCATGTGCTTCAGCATCTCCTCTAATTACACCGTCCTCAAGATTCTAATCCTATGCTGGTCCCAAGTATAAGAGCTTGTATGGAAACTCCTCCTTGTTTTGAGCCTTTCAATCGGGTTCGGACTCCAGCCCAAAGCCCAAATCATCAATCCCCGACCCCAAGCCCCACAGACCCTAAATCTTGCGCCCTACTGTTGATGATATAAATCCTGCACTACCTTAAGGACCCTTTTCTATGGGACTATTCCTTATTATGGGTGAGGCAGGACTTTTTTCATCTACCCGAAACCCTCAAATCCGCTAAGGCCCTGCGGCGGAGCCTGGCATCGCACGAGCCCTTTGCCGGCAGCGAGGTCAAGAGTCTTCTTCCGGTGCCTGACAAAGCGCAGTGCAAGTTAGTTCCCCTCAGTCTTCTTTACATAGATAGATATGAAGTTAGATAGATGGATAGATGGATGGATAGATAGATAGGTAGATATAGCGAGAGAGAGAGAGAGAGAGAGAGAGAGAGAGAGCGAGTGCAACAAGCTGCGGCATACTCGAGTGTTTTCACTTTCCTGCCCGCGAAGTTCTTGGTAGGGGTGTCGAGGGCTGTGAGTTAGCAGCAAGCAGAATGACAGCATATCAGCAACCACAGAAAGTGTACGAGTTGTTTGTGTGACATGCAGCAAAAGGCTAAAACGAGACATTTTGCTACAGCAGGTTCGACGCAGTGATCTTCCCCAATGCGGAGGTCGCGCAAGGACACGGACCTCGTGAGGCATCTAGCATGTTATGCTGCTGGTCTTACAGGGCCTTGTGCTGTTCTGGTCCGTGGCTGACCGAGTGCTTTGTTTGTACACGCTTACATACATGAAGAGGGATTTGCACGCCCATATAGTGCACAGGCATCAACAGCATAAGGTCGCGTTCTTGCCAGAAACTATGTAGTCGGCATCTAGCATTAATCGATCATACCGTGCAGCATGATGATTGGGGTGCTACTTACCCTAAGGGTCCATGTACTCCAATAGCGTCTATTTTGGGCCCCTAAACCCTAAACCCTAAACCAAGGTACCTAAATACAGGGACCATGTGAAGGCCAAAGTGTATACTATTTGGGTACACGGACCCTTAAACCCAAAACCCTATAGATCCCTTAAAGGAACCTACAGAGGCCTTATAGTATCCCTCAAAAAGGAACCCTTACAGGGGTACATGGGACCAGTTGGGTCGCTGTTTGTAGAGTTAGGTCTTCGTGCGGCGAGATCTCTGCAGAGTTTCGATGAACGGACGGGCCCGTGTTTCGGGTTAGAGCTTTCTCTATGTTCTATAAATCCTCTGCAGGTTTACCAGCCCAAGCTCCCCACCGAATTTGTGTTTAGGGGCGCATGCTTCATCTTCAAGAGATGGTCGAGGGACTATAGTGCTCATTGGATGCTACAGGCGCTGAATGTTCGCAATACTAGAGCCATCAAGGTCAGGGTTTAGGGGTTAGGGGTTTGGGTTTGGGTTTAGGGTTTAGGGTTTAGGGTCAGGGTCTTTGGCCCCACGCCTTACTTGGGGTTTAGGGCTGAGGGTTCCTACGCGCACGATAACCGTGGTGGCTCAGTACAGGGGTCATGTTTTCTAGTTTCCCACCCCCCCCCCGTGCCAATGTTTGGGAGTGTCCCCACTTTCGGAGAGCGCCCTTTTGATGTATTTTGGAGCGTCAGGTTTTGCAAAAAGCCTCGTCACAGCCGCCTTAAACCCTCAACAGCTTCCCCCGAAGCCATGACTCCTGAGAGGTGAGGCTGCTGGTACACTTAGTGCGACAGCACTACCAGCCAAAGGACATCATTGTTCTCGCAGAAGACTCAGCTTCTGGCTGTCATGCTTCCGCTTTACATGGGGGGTTCCCTCGATTTCTTGAGCCGAAACAGTCTGGAGCCCGACAACTTAGCCCCAAAGCCCACAAGCCCTAGACCGAAGTATCTTTGAGCACATGAGGCCTCAACAGAGTGCGACTTGGTACGTCACAGAAGCAGCTTCTGTACTAAACCCTAAACCCCAAACCCCTAAACCCTCAGCCCTAGACCTTAAACCCTAAACCCAACTTCAGCTGCGCAGCTTGCATGGCTTCGACAAGATCTTGGCTCGACCCCACCAACACCTCGAAAGGTCGAAGCTAAGAGCATTCAACCCAATAAAGGCATGTATAGGGGTTTCGGGGTTTAGGGTTTCGGGGTTTCGG